GTGTGTGTGTGTGTGTGTGTGTGTGTGTGTGTGTGTGTGTGTGTGTGTGTGTGACTATATGTTGGTACTGTTGATACCCTGTCCCATTACCCTGCTTCCCAACACTAGACTACGCAGAGCAGCTACGAATTATGCAGAAGACCAAGGAGAAGCTTGAAATTGCGTTAGAAAAGCATCAGGATTGTACGTACCTCTCCTCTCCTCCCCTGCAGCTTCCTTCTCTCACTCTGCTCTCAGCATCATCATCATCACTTCTTCTCATGAAACTTTGCTAACATCATGGGCCTTGGATGTTTGCTTTGGGGGTGCTGCTTGCTTTTGTCTTTTTACTCTAAAAAACGACTCTGTTTTTATGTTTTTAGATATTTTTTACTCTATTAATTCAGCATGTTAATGCTCCAATCTTTTGTTTCTTCAAACTACAGCAGCAGCTCTCAAATGTGTGTTTATGTGCAACCCTACATCTGAAAAAGTTTCTTATCAAATGTAAATGAAAACAGAACACAATGATTTTTAAGTCTCATAATCCTCTTATTTTATTCACATGGGAAACATATCAAACCTTTAAGTAAGAACTTATACAATTTAATTTGAAAAAACAAGATAATTGTGAATTTAATGGCAGCAACACATCTGAAACCTGTCTGTACAGGAGGAGCTGAACTGACAGTTGTTGGAGTCTTTGAAGGAAAATGTTTTCCCAGTTCTGTCTGATGTAGGATTCTAGCTGCCCTGAGCTGAGTTTGTTGGTTTTTTTGTTTCATGATGGCATGCATGTTCACCCRGACTCTTTTTCTTTGAAGTCATGCTGGTGTAATTAGGGCTGGGCGATATGACCCCCCAAAAAATATCAGATTTTTTTCATCCCTTGTTCGATTTTCAATTTTAATCAATTTGTTTCCCACTTAACGGAGTGCCYCTGTTTCWGGTGTTGAAACAAATTTGTTGTAGTCCTACTTTTTGTAGCAAGATCCTTCAAACAGACTTATCAGTGAGGTGTTTATTGCTCCAAGTCTGAGGTTGTGAATCCTAACCAGTTCCAGAGAACTGAAGAAACTGTGTCTTTTTTGTGAAATGGATCTTCTTTGCTAGCTGCCATATTGTCATGTCATGTACGAAGTGTCTTGAGGGACAGGTGGGGTGACCTCTGAYCTACAGAAGCCCCAAAGAGTGCACTGGTGGGAAAAAAAAACCTCCAGATTTTCCCAAAATTAAATCTTTTATAAAGGGCAAATTCAAATTAATTAATTAAATCAATTTATCACCCAACCCTAGTTGTAATGGATGCAGTCTGCAGTTTAGCATTGTCTTGCTGAAATATGCAAGATTTCCCTGTAAAAACCAACSATGTCTGGTCTGAATATGTTATACTAAAATCTGTTTTTTSCTTTTCTGCATTAATGAAGCCTTTCCGAATATGTAAGCTGCCCAAGCCATAAGCATGTATGCACCCCTATACAATCAGAGAGGCAGGCTTTTGAACTGTGTGCTGATAACAGTGGYCCTGCTCCTGTTTGGTACTGGAACATGAAGCATCAGGGGTTTGCAAAAAGAATTTCATATTTTGACTTTTTTGACCACAGAGAGTTCAGATAATTTAAATGAGCTTTGGTCCACTAATGCTTTAGTCACCATGAGTGGGTGTCTCAGTGAGCTGTGCTTTCAGACTTTCTGTCTTCTTTTGTGCAAGTACTGACTTAATGCAGGGATGTCCACAATGGAATCTGACTCTTTCTTTTTTTTTTTTTTTTGTGCACAGAGATTTCCTCAAATCTTCTGAAGATAGTGATGTGATTTTCAAAGTCTTCTCAGTTTTCTGCTGAGGAACATTATTTGAAATTGTTTGGTGTTTAAAGACTGATCCTGGGGTGAATAGAAGTATTTTAAAAGTTTCTGATGGGAAGTGAACAGAACCTGAGTTCTGCTGGTGCTCTACTTGTCCTCATTCCTACAGTTTATTACTTTACCTACAGCTCAAGTGAGTTGTTGCCTGATTTAACAACACTTCAACAACTGCACCTGTCTTATGAACTGCAAGAGCTTTATTTCTTAAAAGGTATTTCTGGCTTTTTTGAAGTGGTGTTCTTTGCAAATTTTATAAACAATTGTATGTCTCACACTTGCTCTTAGAAAGAGCTCAGAGAAACAAAGTTAAATCTGATGAGCAGTCATTTAGTCTGATTGCAGCTAAAAACAAAGTGGATTGTTGATGCCTGAAATGTCTACAAACACTTCATGTAAGCACTGGTTTATTGACATTTACATCGCCATCATTTTTGAATAATGATTAATTTATCAGAAAAATGAAATTCCTGCAGGGTGTTTGTCAGGCTCCACTGAAAGTGCTACATCTAGTTGTACTTGCAATTAACCAAAGTATTTCATGTAAATAATGATGTAATCAGAAATTACTCAACACAGTTTGGTCCAAACTTCAGGTATTGGTTCTAAAACCCACTGCAGAGGAGTTCATTGTGGACTCAGTACCTGCAAAACCAGCTCAAACCATCAGCCCTCCAGCACTGTGCTTCACAGGAGGTTGTGTCTTGATTCACTGAGTGTGGTGCTGTGGTCAAACTTCWGGTTTTCTTCTGACATCCATCCACAGACAAACGGGCACACTGTGTCTGCATTTGGCTTTAATTTTATTTTGAAATATTCTTGATTATTTGACTTGATCTACTTTATTTTATGTTCCTGGGAGGACCAGAGGCCATTTCTTTTGTCTTCATGTGTAAAACTTTAGGCTTTTCTAAACAATACACATTTTATTAAGAGTGAATAAATAACACACAACCTGTCCTTTACGTCCTAAATAAAAAACTAAAAACTATTTATTATTATTAACAGTTTTTATTAATTTATTACTTTAGATTTTCGTTCAGTGTTAGTGATACATGGATTTTTAATTAAATCCATAATGTTTTTAAGTTACAGTAAGTGCTACAGTAACTTTTTCACTAAGTGTTACATTGTTAAAGTAAGTGTTACATATTGTCATCAATGATGAAATTTGTGCTCTATATTTAAGCCGTCACACATGAGACACACTCAAGTGGAGCTAAAATAAAAAGTGACAGAGCCRTCTTCAGTGGATGTAAAAAAATAGGTTTAGCTCCAGAGAACAATTTTAATATAGTTGAATACCCACAATCCTTCACTCTGAGGAGGATGAGGCTGATGTAACTTCAGTCATAACAAACACAGCTGCTGTGTACATGACGAGATATATTTACTTTTTGCTTGGAAAAAAATGATTTTGGGGACTTTTGATTCAGTCTTAAATAAATTTCTGACTGGAATGTTGTTTCTACATTATTAACTTCACAACGTTTAGTTTTATTTTCTGCTGCCATGCATCGCTGCTCTTTGCCTATTTTTGCGCCTAGATGAACTCTTTCTAATCTTTTCTCAGCTACTAACATTAACGCTACAATCATTGCAGTTTCATCTTTGAAGTCTTGTTTGTATACAAACTGTTCTGTGTGGTTTCCTTTCTTTCTTTGTTCCCTCTCTCTTTCTCTGCACAGCATCCATAAAGAAACTTCAGGAGCAGAATGAGTCTCATCAGGTCAGCAGAGCTAAAATGGCTGAGGGAATGTCTTTAGCTCTGGAGAAAAAAGACCAGGTAAACGTTGCCCGCTCACCTGTTTTACAGTAATTGTTGCTCTCTCACCTGTTCTACAGTTTTAGCTCATGCTCTAACTTGGTATTTTTCCTTTTTGCAGGAATGGATGGAGAAGATGTCTGCTTTAGAAAATGTAAGTTTTAAAGCTTTGCTGTTTTCTAAGTTGTACATCAGGATAAACTGTCTAGACTAGAAACACTTGTCTATTTCATTAGTAAGTTTAGGTTGTTGAACTCCTGAGCCCATTGGTATTAAGGTTGGGTTTTAATGTATTTAAATTAGTTAGGAATTCTTCTTTGGTTTTGTTAGTGATGTAGTTTAGGGTTAGCAGTGAACTGAACATGTAACTGAACTCCCTGAGAAAAACTGTTTGACTCGAGTCAAAAATGTACATCCTTTGTTTTGGTCGTGTGTGGCTGTTTCTGGCACATGCTAACACACATGCATGTTCTTTTCTATTTCAGTGAGTACAGTGATGTGAAAGCATGTGCATGTACCATAACCAGTTTCTTAAATATATGAAATAAAAGCAATTACCTTACAT